AAATTCCGGGCAATGAAGCAGCTGGTACCAACAACCGGAATATTCTGGTACCAGTCGAAAAGGGTGTTCCGGCTCCTTCTTCTCCACAACGCATCGGCCCACACATTCTTCACCATCAACCATAAGTCCCCCTTCGACCCCGAGAAGCATCCGTAAACCCAGCCGCTTCCTGTCGGAACATTTGTACACTGAACTATCTTGTCAGCGCTTCGTCAATTTATAGTAGTCCAGTAAGCAAATTTTTCCTACTAACCAGGAATCTGTATGTTCTGCGTGAATGTTTTTCATCAGCACGTTATTTGGGTTGGGGCTCATTTGCAACAGGCAGACTGTACACCCTTCACACGTACGTGCATACGCTCACGCACAAAAACAAACTCCCCTTCCCTCCTCCCCCTCGCACCTTCCCCCACTCCCCAAAATCACGTTTCTGTATTGCAGAAATGCAAAAAATCGCAAAAGACGATATTTTTTATGCATTTTGTGCTGTGTAACAGCAGTACAAAACGTATATTGTCACGGGGTTGTCTGTGTGTGTGTGTGTGTCCGCAGCAAACTTGTTCGCAACTTTCAACTCGGGAACCACAAAAGCTAGGAAGCTGAAAACTTAGGGGAACGCTCCCCACCCACGTGTGACCCCCAAATTTAAATTCAGCTTCCCCATATCCGCGGGTAACACGTACCGCCCCGTGAAAATTTTCTTCGGGTAAGTTAATATCTCGGGAACCGCGAAATCTAGGAGGCTGAAATTTTAGGGTAATGACCCTCTGCCCACGTTCAACCCTGCCCATTCAAATTCAACCTTTCCTTACCCGCGGGTAACACGTACGGCCTCGTGGATGTTTTTCACGGGCAATTTAATACCTCGGGAACCACGGAGTCCAGGAGGCTGAAATTTCAGCGTAATGACCCCCTGCCCACGCTCAACCTTGCCCCTTCAAATTCAGCGTTACCGCGCTCCCGGGTGCGACCTACAGGCTAATGAAAATTTTGGCAGGTAAACTATTAACATGGCAACCACGGAAAGATATTCATCCTTCAAGATTTCGAATTGAGCTTTCATGCACTGGTGCGTGAAATTTTTAACTGTTTTCCAATGTTTGAACTATTTTCTCGTAGAATAAAGTACAAAGCAGTGAAAAGCATTAATACGCAATCGTTCGATGGGCTCAATTGCACAAAACGCATATCGCACCGGCTAGTCTGGTGCGCACTGCTATTTATTTTTTACTGATATTTTCATTGAATATATGTATTTCATAGAATAGAGTGTTTCCATTGAATAAATTTTCACAGGATATATATATATATATATATAAAGATATTTATGTATGTATTAACAAAAATTTTTAGATTAAGTTAGCAAAATCCTCTCTTCGACCAAGTATTCATCGATCAGTAAATTTTTTAGCCTCTCCCCCTCCTTCATCTTCATTTTGCTGGCACTATTTGTCAATCACTTCATTGCTTACTTTGTTAGTGTCCTTTATCACTGAATGAAAGCTAACGAAAAAAAAAGGCCGCTCCGATGATCTTCGAAGCGAGGACATATCAAATTAGCACAGGCTGAGGTGAAATACCATTTGGAGACATAAAAAATGTCCTAGCAACCATTTCTTCAACATCGAAGCTCCGCATCCGGAACATTATGAGCAGACTAGTTAGAGGGGGATTTTTCAAATTTTATCAATTCTAGGAGGAACTCCGCTTCCAGAACATTATGAGCAGTTCTGTCAGCAGGGGATTTTTCAAATTTTATCAATGCTAGGGGAATATGGTGTTTGGCGAATGAGGAAAATCGAGTTAAATGTTTATTGAACTACCGAAAATGATGAGCAAATTAAACAAATAAACGTCAGTAAAATACAAAATCTCATGCAACAATGCATTTCCACCGTTTGGATCTAATCACCATTATTTTTATATATCACAAGAATAAATTCACGCACACGTACTGTGCTTTCACCGAGCAGAAAGTATCGCTCTGCATCTATAAATACCGAAAAATAAAAAAAAAAAATTTGTCTTTTTTCTTAAAAAAAATTAACACAGATTCGCTTCATTTCAGTCAAAGCAAATACCACGCGCGATCATACATTTTGTGCAATTCAGCAAAAAAAAAACCTCAAAATTCTGCTTTGTTCCCGAACTTGAAAATATCCCGTCAAATTTTCCGTTCAAGGTCAAATTTCGAAAAATCATCCTAAAACAGTTCACCACTTTAGTCCTCGAGTTGGAAAGATGCCAACAATTTCCGCCACAAAATTTTACGTTTCTATTGGTGAGATCTAGGTGTACCTAGATAGTGAATTTGAAATCTTTAGATCGCACATGGACGACACCTGTGAAATTTGCATTTTGCGTTCCTGTAGCGGCGAAAACCAGCAAAGATGCTTCAAAGTTCACGAAGGGCTCGTGAAAATTTCAGTCAAAATTTCAAAATTTTCGATTTCTAAAATCTCTAAATCTCTAAATTCTAAAAAGTCGAAAATCTCTAAATTTTGAAATTTTAGGCTGTGGTGAGAGAAATGAATCCCAACGGATTCATTCACAAAATGAATAAAAAGCGTTAACTATTGACAGTTTTAAAAGAAACCCTGCCACTTATTTCGCTTTCTCGGCTGGCATGAACATTCGCAAATATGAAAGTTGCAAGGAACGTTCCAGATCTGCGAGATGGGCTACCGCACCAGACAACTGAACAGCGTGGCCCTCGTAGAGTGATCCTGAAATATTTCAGTATAATATGGTAATTTTAAAATAAATGCCGTGCTCCATATGTACTGGAGAAATCTACGGCATTTTTTGAGAAATAAATACCGGAGGCAGCTCTAAAATGCCGTCCTATAAATACCGTCCTAGAATACCGGGCCACCGGACGCAGTTCTACAATGTCCTTCGATTCTAGCATTCTTCACTCCATCGCTTTCTTTGTCACTGGACATGGCCCAACGACTAGTTCGAGGACTTTTAAAGTTCAATGAAAATACAGGAAAAAAACTCGGGATGGCAAACCTAACCATACTATAGAGTTCTAACAAATACATTTCATACTCCAAGGGGCACCTTCGCAGTTTTTGGCAAAAACCTTGTAGCTTTCCTCTCGTTTTATTACAAGCAAGTTATTAGAGTTCCAAGCTTTTGAAGAACCAATTTCCACATAACTGACTAAGAACGAGGCACCACTGTCTTGATATAGATATCAGCCTTTAATCAATCCCGTAATTTTCGAAAGAAGCTACCAATTTCACTTCCCCTCTGCTGATCTTTGTAAGTTTAGGACTGGGAATCGCATTCAGATCCGGGAAAATAAATGTAAAAGCCTGAGCCATCAAAACTGCTTGGACTTTCCTTCAATTTTAAGAGACTGGCAGTCAAAAAGTTCAAATTCCGATTCATGAAAAATCACTATTTCCAAATGCCTAAATGAAAAAGTAATCGAAAGAAAAAGTACCAGTATTTGCTCGTTTCGCGCCGTATACAACTTTACCATCAAATTCATCAACTGGCACAATAAAATCAGTATCGATCTGCTGTATTGTTACACCCAAGTGCTCTTCGATTTCATCCAGAAGCTTTAATGTAACTTAGTTAAGCGAGAAGAAAAAAGGATCAAAATCAATTACTCATTACAATGACAAAAAAAACTTTGTAGTACCAACTATAGGATTTACTGCCTAAAGCTTAATAAATTAAGTTCTTTTTTTTTTTTTGATCGTTTAATAATCGCCCCCTTTTTTTGTTTTAATAACTGTACCAGTTCACAATATCATTAGAATAATCGCACACAAATTTTCAGTTTTATTTTTGTTTTTTTGTCTTTTTTTTTTGTTTTTTTTCTTGTTTTTTGTCGTTTCGCGACCTTTTCCATAACCATAAAATATCTAAATTTAAATTCCGTTTATTAGTGCCTGTTGTGCTTTTGCAAATGAGTGTAAATGAGGAAATATTTAAACCATCCATCCTCACGCGACGTGCTAGCCCACTATAACACTGGTCTTGTTGGCTCTTCCCCCCCCCCCCCCCCCCCCCCC